GAGAGAGAGAGAGAGAGAGAGAGAGAGAGAGAGAGAGAGCGAATATTGAAAGGATCAAGATGACCGGGCACTTCACTATGCCTGAGCCCATCACTAGATTTATATGATTTATACGATAGATAAGTGTCTATATATTGTGAGACACCGATAGCAAAAATAGAGAGTATTTTACGTCCAGAAAAATAAATCTTTACGATTATATAGAAATAGTATATACAGTATGTATTGTGTCTGTCAAACGCGTGGACTAAACCCCTGCCATCCATATGACAGGTCCTCCCAATCCGGTTAACGACTGTTATGTGGCGAACGTCACACTCACCGCACTATTACTCCACTGCACGGCCGGCGACAACGGCGGACTCCGGCAAACATTTCACCTCCAGGTCTACAACGACGACAAACACCAATTGCACACCAATTTGACATCGTTTGAATCGCCCGTCTTTCACATCAAAGACTTACCCCCAGCGACCGATTTCACGCTCAATGTGTACGCGTCCAACGCTAAGGGCAAGAGTGACTCCATTGCCATCAACTCAGCCACCGCTCACATGCCTGAACGTCACGCCCGCAAAGGTATGGCACCAAACCTATTGTCACCATCTTTTTGACCATTATTTTGACCAACATTTTTATGTATATTCTGTTGTTTTCTGTGTTTGTGCTGTTTTCCGCCCAATTCTTTATGATTATTATTATGTATTTTATTATTTTCCGTTTTTATCTCTCGTTTTTATAGACAATTCAGATCTTATATGTTATGTCTGTCTCTCATAACTCTTTGCTATTGAAATGACAGACAAAACGCAAATAATACACGATTTTGTGTTGCCATTCATTTTTTTTCGGGCAAAAAATAGTTTGTTTGTTATTTTGCAGACAAATTCTTTGAACATCTCTTGAAATTATTGTCATAAATATATATAGTTTTTGTGTGTTTTTGTTTACAATCGTAACCATCAATGCTAATGGCTCTATGAGTCCGTCACACCAATAGCCAGGACATCATTTTCTCCTAATCCGTGTCCAATTTGCCGATAGAGAGAGAGGGAGAGAGAGAGAGAGAGACTTATTGAGAAATAAATTTTTATATTTCGCAACGAAAACGAAAAAATAAAACAAAACTGACATAAAATTATTGATTAAAACTTATATATTATTATTATGAAGAATATTTGTTATGCCTATAATTGGCATTTTGTTGTCTATTTTCCCATAAACCCAGTCGTCGACAGACATATCATTGCAAAACTATATGCCATCAAAATTTATTTATATTTTTACCCAAAAACCAATTTTCTCGGCGGAAAATATTTTGAAATTTATTTCACGAGTTATTCATTAGTGAAAATGATTGCAATTTTTAATTAATACACGTTTTTTGTCGTTTAAAATTTAATGTTCCGGTAGTTATGTTTATATATAATACAATATTTCGTTGAAATTAAAAATTTTAAAATTATGTTTAATGTCTAACAATTTATTAGTTTACAAATTTTAATTCTCTCTCTCTCTCTCTCTCTCTCTAATTCTGTTATCACTCATTACTATGAGATAAAAGCCATTATTATTATCGATGAAATAATAGGTCAGTAGTAGTGAAGAGATAATTAATTATAATTTGAGTCAATTAAACATATAGTGTGTATAAAAACGTACGAATCATTATTACACTTATCTATTAATTACTAACATTTAAGTTGAAAGTGATTTTTAAATGAATTGTAAGTTAAAAGTTAAGATAAGGATAAAAAAAACTCGGAGAACACTTAAATACAAAATTGTCTCTAATTTGTAATTTAAATCCTATTTAATCCATAAGAGAGTGAGTGAGTGAGAGAGCAGTCATTTCTCTTTATTTAAGATATTAATCTCCGATTAAAAAGGCTTTTCAGTAGAAATTTATAAACTAATTATTTTGTTAAAAAGTTTTAATTTATGTCACAATTAATATCAAAACAATGTGTATATAAATTAAATTTATAATTTTAAAATGAGTACATTATATAACATATAAGAGTTTGAGGCAATGGGAACGACATCTCTTATAAACTGGCCGTAAGTCTAGTAATTCCCCTAAAACTAGATTCTTGTGATTCTTTAGGTATTCTTTAAACATAATCTTTATTTCTTTTTTCTTTCTGTTTTTCTCCACTAATTTCTCTCGTTTTACAAACATTAATGCAATTAAACGCAAAAACACACAATTGTTTTAATCGTTTTAATTCATTTGATTTTTATTTCTCTCGCAAAACATTTACTTTCTTTATAGACGGCTCTAATGACGTGCCCATCAGTCCAATAATCGGTGTCCTCATCGGCATTATAGCATCGCTTGTAATCATTTGTATAATTACTGTATTTATAATTAGATGTAAAGTTAATAGACATCAATACAAAGGTATGTATAATGAGTTAATCCAGTCAATCAGACTAAGCCTTCTCTTCCTTTCATTCACTATCCATTTCCATTCTCTCTCCCACTCTCATAGATATCGATTCAAACGATTGCACATTTAAGCACAAAAAAATATCAGTTAAATATAAAATAAATAAGAAAATAAATACAAAAATTTAGTGCATCTTTTGTCATGATTACTGCCAAACCATTGGTAGTAACGTATGATCTGAATGTCGTTATTCACTATTTGCTTAGCATTATATCACATCGACTGTCAATTGAATTGAATGAGAAACTGCTTATATAAACAAATGCCTTATTTGTAAATCTGATCATTTTTTTGCATCTCTTTCTCCTTTTCGTCGTCTTTTTCATGCATTTCGTAATCAATTTTCATCACAAATATTGTATTCATTTTAAACGATTTCTTCGCTCTCTGTTTTGTTCACACATTTTTCTATTATTCAATCTAACGGTAAGTATTTGTTATGGATTACAGAATTTACAGAAATATTTTCATCGGGAAAAGTACACAAAAAACATTTTGTTTTCGCAGCTCTAATATAAGGCAACACTGGATATAATTGAATAAATAGATTATAAAACATGGAATTATCTATAAGTGGAGAGAGAGAGAGAGAGAGAGAGAGAGCTATGATATTATTAAAGTAAGAAAGAGAGCAAATCTTCTGCTAATATGTCATAAAATTAAGCGAAAAGAATAAAAGTATTAAATAGTAGTAAAAAGGAAATGCTATGAAAAGCCATAAATCATAAATGATTTGTCACACAATCAACTAAATTAAAATATTTTCTTCTTTTCCCACTTCACAGCGAAAATCCCGAAACATATCCACTCTTTTTGGATGATTTTTATTAATGATTTCTGTATTTATTATAATATCTAATGAATTTTCGACACTTCACTCCACTATACTATAGCCCATGTATTTAATGACTCGCGCTCTCTCTCTCTCTCTCTCTCTCTCTCTCTCTCTCTCAACCCTATCATTACAACGCAAACACAATATTTTATTACCGAAAACAACAAAATCTACTGCAAAATGCTATCAAAAAATATATATTATATAATTATTTCCTTAACGACTGAAAAACAAAAAGTCAAATTATATAACATATAGAAGTGGTATATTATATGTACTGTAGTCTACGGTATAATTGCATGGCTGGCCCACTAGTGCCACAAATATGTAAATATTATGTGTGTATACAATACAAAACCAATCGATATATTCATATAATATGCTTAAAATTCTGTTCACTTTTGCATTTAAGTGCATATATTTTTGTGTTCATTTAAATTAATCTAATTTTAAATGAATCGCTGTTTGCGTTAATTGCACTAAAACTAGTCGTAATAACTATTAATAAAAGTTTTAGTCCATAATTAAAAATGAAAAATAAAATTAGTGAATAATTGCGAGAGAGAAAGAAAGAAAGAGAGAGAGAGAGAGAGAGAGAGAGAGAGAATAAAAATCATATTAATTTAAATAAATTTATGAATAAATAGCATATTATAATAATATCTCGCCGAGAGATTCAGCGCAATGGAAAATTATAACCAAAAACATAATAATAACAACAATAATAAACATTAATATATATTAAATAATATGTTTGGCCAACAATTGTGTAGCTCTAAAGCAAATGCCATTACAGTCGGAGTGCAGACTATTTCCAACATGTGATGCTATTTTAGAGGCAAACCGTGCGCTCAAACAGTTTACCATTAAATTCTCCTTTCGATGTGTGAAACAAATAGCAAATTAATCAACTTATTTGAGCTCTACTGTAAAGTTAGGCTCATTTTCTATTAGCCATTCAGTCCACAAGATATTGTATATACGGCTAAATTGGAGAGAGAGAGAGAAAGAGAGAGAGAGAGAGAGAGACCAAGGTATTATTACGAACACCGCATAATAACAGTGTTTAACAGTATTAAATATTGAGCGACAAAATAATACTTTTTAATGTTTATATAAATGCCTGTTTATATCACTGCTAACTATAATCGCATCCTAATTATTACTATTGTACATTTTGTGAGCCACCCCCGGCCGCCCAAACCCGGCACCGGTAGGTTTTGAAAGCGAGATTAAATGAGCAAATATTATATAACATTATATAATGGTATAAAAGTGCACACAATGTGTTGATGGCATACCAGCTGCTACGATGCTAAAGGCGCAGGGCTCTTTTTGTTTGCCGATAATATTGTGCGCCCAACACAACACAGTGCCATAATTACCCCGATTGTGGGGCACATAGGAGGCCACACTCTGCGAGCCGTTAATCACATACGACTTCATCTCAAACGAGTCCACAGTGTTGTTGAAAAGCCACCGGAAAGTCATGTCGGCGTTGGGCTCGGCGTCCGCATCACAGGTGATGTTCACGCGTTCATTGCGGGCCACGCCGTAGATAATGGTCTGTCCGGGTCGGCACACCGGCGCGACTGCACATCATTGCGCAAAATAAACACCAAAATTACAGAATATTCCGCACATTATACATAAATAAAATGCTAAACAAATGTCACCACTTACAATTAACTTTCAAAAACTCTTTGTTACTGTTGGCCGAGCCCTCGGCGTTGGTGGCGGTGCACTGGTAGCGACCCCTGTGCTCGCGGCGGACCTTTTGCAAGACCAGCGACTGATTGCTGACAATAATACCGTTGGAAGTGTCGCTATAGAGGGGTCGGCCCTCGAATAGCCAGCCGACGTCAATGACCCACGGGTTGGCCACAATCGTGCACTCGAAGTACACGTCACTTCCCTCGCGGATCTGATTGGCAATGTTGGCGCCCAACGCCAGTGTCAGTTGAGGCACATCTGATGGTTACAGCGATATATAGACAGTGAGATATATTGTGTAATAAAGTGTTTCCTATTAATTATGGCATTAATGTTAGGCTATAATAATAACAATGGGTATTGTATTCGGTGGCCATTAATTCATATTAATAACTACTGACTTTTTTTTTATTACTGTTGTCTCTATGGCTAATGTAGCTATTTTTGGGGATATTATTTATAATCTAGTTTTAAAAATCAAAATAAAATACTTTCGCTAAAAACAAGTGTTGCGAAAGAATTTTTATATTAAATATTAAAAAAGTTTGAATTGTTTTTAATGTTTGTTAAGAAAGGACTCAAATTACGGGCAAAAAACCAAAATCTCTTATTTAATAATATAAGAAAATTTAATCAAAAAATATGTTTTACATAAAACACACATTTATTACGGTATATATACTTATTCTGTATATATTTTTTGTGATATAATAATAATAATAGTAATAACGAGTTGCGAGGGAAATATAATAGGAATTAAAGGCATCGCGTATCACATAAAACGGTATATAAATGAATGATTAGTGTATTTATTGTATCAAAAAGATAAGTGAGAATAAGGGGAGAGAGAGAAAGAGAGAAAACTATATGCCGTATAAGTTATAATAAAAATAAGAGACAAAATAAAAGGCTATAATAATAAATGGCACGAAAAGAGAAAGGGAATGAGAATATGAGAGTTTGATTCGTTGTGTTTAAGAAAGAGAGAGAGAGAGAGAGAGAGAAATTGAATGTAGAAAAGAGTGAATAAGTGAAGGAATATTCTGTATGTTTATATACATCAGCAAAGAATGGATGCATTGAATTGATAATAGAAATGTTTGTCAATCAAATAAGAGAGAGAGAGAGAGAGAGAGAGAGAGAGAAGAATATTGAAAGGATCAAGATGACCGGGCACTTCACTATGCCTGAGCCCATCACTAGATTTATATGATTTATACGATAGATAAGTGTCTATATATTGTGAGACACCGATAGCAAAAATAGAGAGTATTTTACGTCCAGAAAAATAAATCTTTACGATTATATAGAAATAGTATATATGTATTGTGTCTGTCAAACGCGTGGACTAAACCCCTGCCATCCATATGACAGGTCCTCCCAATCCGGTTAACGACTGTTATGTGGCGAACGTCACACTCACCGCACTATTACTGCACTGCACGGC